GATGCACAAAAGAGAGCCCTCTCCTTTCCCTAATGGGCATTACCTACACTCTGTTTGGGGGAAAGGGCACAAAATAATAGCGTAATTATTGTTTTTAATAGAATTGTTGTAAGTGTTGTAAATGAGTGTCCAGTGAGAGGATGATATGATCTGCTCTGGAAAGGGGGGACAGTGTCCTGGGAATGCCCTCTTATAAAGATGACATTTGAGTTGAGCCCTGGAAGGTGGGGAGGATTCCAGAATTTCTGAATAGAAGAGGCTTAGGGATGGCAAGCCTAGGGATGGAGATTTGTTTCGGGGTTGTGCTGCATAGTAAGCCCACTTTTACTCTTAGGTTGTACTGTATGTTTCCTTGGGGTGGCTTTTGGGAGGTTGTCTCTCGATGCATGCTACAGAAGGGTAAGCAGGAACGAATTGTGTGGAACTGTGGGGGACGAGAAGAGAGCATATGCAGTGGCCACATGGTGGGACTAAGCGCAGGTAATAGAGTCCCGCACCGCTGGAGAGCAGGGCAGGGGCGTGAGCACCAGTGAGACTGGTGAAAGGGGCAGAGGCCAGGTCACAGAGGACATGAATAAGCACCATGGAAGCCCCTCTGAAGATTGTTCTCTCTATGGGGATAAAGATCCCCAGAGAATGGGATTTTATTGAAGGCTGTCAAGCAGGGTGCGACCCGATCATTTTCACATTTTAGAAGTCCCTCTTGCCACTGTGTGAGAATGAATAGGAGTAAGGGTGGGTGCCAGAGACCAGTTAAGAAGCTGTTTCACCAGTTTTACAGAGAAATGATGCTAACTTAGATGGGGGTGGTCATCATGGTGAGTGCGAGAAATAAACAAACGTGGAAGATATTTGCGCAGACAAGTATACAAACACTGCAGTGTGAACCGAATAGGCAGAGGGGTATGGAAAGCTTTACAGAAGCGACATCAGGTTAACCTTGCAGGATGAGAACAAATTCCTGTAGTAATGCAGTCCATCACTTAGATTCCGTTGCTAAAATATGTACATGATAAATGATTACCCTTTTTTTAGTATTCCTTTCAGATTCTCTAAGAAATGTCACATAACTTGTGTTCTTTTCTCTAATAGTGTTACTGCATGTGTTAGAATATAATAAATCTGCATTTCCTGAAAACTATTTTACAATTTAACCTCATTGTTAATTCAGACAGATCCCCTCTTCATCAACACCCACCCAAGTCCAAGTACATTTAGTGAGAAGAATGCACATGGGCACATTTTTATATTTTTTCCCACTTCTTATTAAATCCTCAGTCCAGGTTAAATCTCTATGGCAATTTGGCATGTGTCTTTCCACCCTCTTAAATTCTTGCCTGTGTCTGCCCTGGAAGAATTATAATTTGATTGATTTAAGGACTTGGGAAAAATTTTAAAGCCTAAAATACTTTAAATATTCTCAGTTCTCTTTTACTTCCAAAGGTGAATGTGCTCAGATCTAGAGATTGCCCAGGCTGAAGGCTATTAGATGTAGAAGAATATTAGTTGGCATTAATAACATCTCCAGTCTGTGGCCCCAGGAATGGACTGTGTACACCTCTCAAATCAAGAAAAATTGTAACTATTACCTTATATTATTTTGTGATTATTTCCCACATTACTTATAGCTGCTATGGGGCTTGTGCTGCTCAGTCCTTCTTTAGCAAGCACTCAGCTCTTCTTTCGTAATTAATATCTTCATTTCCCCTATGCATAGCATGCCTGAAGGAATTTTTTTTCTAGAAACAAAGTCTGCATCGTGCTTTAGTATGGCACAATTTATTTAGTAATTCATCTTTGCTATTTATTTTTTATTAAACAAATCAAGCCGGATATTAGTTTTAAGCCCTTGCTTTAAAACTAGGGGTTGTTCTGTGGAGTCCGTGTCAGGTCAAAGAGAGGTCAGTAAGATATATCTCATCTAGGCATTACCATGTGCACCATCTGCCCATGTTAAATCACAGTGATAAGTAGGATATGTACACCACTAATTCCTCTTTGGCCAGAATTTCATGTCATCTCATGGTCATTACAATTGTCCAATTACAGTTGACCAAATTGAATTATCTTTAATTAGTAGGTCTGTCTGATAGTACAGTGGGCTAGTTGGATGTATTTATCTGTGTAAGTGGTCTGTCATCAGACTTAGAAAGCCAAATGTCATGTCTGAAAAGAAAAAAAAATTTGGGGGGAAAGAGGAAGGCAGGAGGCTGGATATATTTTATATATGTTAAAGTGAAAGAATAATTTCAGTATAGTCTTGTAATACGTGTCATGAAAGTTTGTATGTCTTTAGGATCTTTGGAAGAAAGTGACATTAGTTATGCAATGTATGATGTTTATTTATCTGTATAGAAATGGCATACTGAGGTTAGTAAAACAAAAATTCTATTGTCCTTGTAATGGGAAAAGATAGCTCATTCCAGACAACCCATTCATAACATATTTAGGTCCCTGTGAAGATTTATAATATCTTTGTGTAATGCCCAGCCAGGAAATTTTCTGTCTGCTGCAAACCGCACACACCATTACAAAATTTTAATGGATTCACACTGACTTACTTCTGTTCAGATTGATTCTTATACTTGAGAGGCAAATGGGTGAGAACAGGGCATGTGTTCCTTAAAGATGGCAATGGGCCTTTGAGCAATGATATCTGCCTGAAAAACTCGAGAAGCATCTATGGTTAGATAAGACTGGAGAGAGTCAAACTTATCACTTCCTGACATTCTCATTTGGGGGTGATAGTATTGCTATATCACATCAAGTCCTACCATATAGCCATGTAGCATGGTGACACCAGACAAATACGAAGTTCTCTAGGGCTTTATTTGACCTGGAAGTTCTCTCAGGCATTATCCCTTGATCCCAGCATAAAAAAATGAGGGGGGGAGGAGAGGAAGAAAGAGAGGGAGGGAGGAAGAGAAGAGAGAAAGAGGAGAGAGGAGAGAGCAGAAAAGGGAAGAGATATGGCTGATATTCTGCCCTTTTTCCCACTGAGCATCACATGATTATCTATTTGCCTCAATTTTACTATTTTTAGGCATTGATCTTAACTCCTGAATTCTTTTTCAGGAAAAAAAGACCATTAATGCCATTGTTATTTCTACCCAGCAGTTCAAATCTTCATTTTTTTTTGGCATATTTCCTTAGTGCCTCAAAAAACAACACTGCAGCTAATCTTAAAGGAATAATTAAAGTTTCTGGAGCATTGCTGAGGTAAATATTATTTTCAAAGCATATCAGTCAGCTCCTGCCTGTCTGTCTCCTTCTATATTTGCACTCACCCAACCATTCATTCATCCATGCAAAAAATATGTATTTATTATAAGTCTGTTATGTGTTGGGCAGGCAGTGTGCTAGGTGCTTGGGGGGAAAAAAAGGTCAATAGCAAACCAGCCCTGCCCTTTGAACTTACACATATGGGTCATTATTACTTAGCAAAGGTGTTTTGAATGCCTACATTCCCAGGCAAGTTACTTATAGCAACCCCTTGTGCAGAATTTGGAAAAGGACCTTTTTATGGAGAGGCACAGGAAGAGTAGATCCTACTCCTACTTTCAGAGTTTTTATATATAATAATGATTTGTCCTGGGAGTTTTGTGTTGAAATGTAAAATATGTTATAATCCTAGCCTTTGAAATAAGAACCTTGCCAACTCAGTCGGAAATGAAGTCTAAACTGCCCCAGCAGTGAGAAGGTGGATCTGATGGTCTTTGGATAAAATCATATCTTGGGACTCTATCATTTTTGTTTGGTGCTGCATAGATGGCAGCTTGTATCCCAATCAAACCAAAATTGTTCCCTCGGCGATATGTGATAAGGATAAGCATTTTGGAAACAAATATGGAAAGTTTCAAACATAATAAAAATTCTATATGCTCTAGTAATTAGCATTTCTCCTTGCTAAAAATACTATGTATGGCTTCTGCAATCATACTAAAATTTTAAAATCATGTCCTCTCTGGAAAGCAATTGCTTTAAATTGGATAGATTTCACTCATTTTCCAGTGAAAGAATTTAAAAATTCTGTCTGTGGAAACCAAAATACTGGATGGCAGAGTTGGATGTGTCTTTCACTTTAAAATGCAGACTCTTTCTGTGGTGAATGTATTTGTTGTGGTAAAGTATTTGAAAGGAAATCCTCAGAATAATTTGGGGTAAGGAAAAACATTATGTTTAAATAAGCCAACCCATCAGTTTTGAACTTTGAAAATTGCTTTATTTTGAGTCAGAAAGAATTAATAATCATTCATTGCATTAAAAAATGTATGTTTGAATTATAATATAAAATCATGATCTAAAACAAATTAAAGCTCCAAATTTTAAAGGACTATAGTATAATGCTGTGATCTCAGTGATTTTTCTAAATGAATTAATGTTGTTTAGAGTTAATATTGATGCTCTTACTTAGCTACCTCATGATGTGTTCTGTGTTTTGGCAAGTATCTCTCTAGATAAGTGATTCCTGTAAATGTTGGAAATTTCTTTACAGGTTAACTTTCCCATCATTTTAAATTGCCCATCCTATATTATTTCAGCCTAGAAGGATCCTGCTAGTCTGATAAGAAGCTTTCTCTCCTGAGATCTGTATTTTGTGCAGGGCTCATCTAGGAGAGGGAAACGCCAGAATGCCAAATTGCAAACAGTATTCTTTACTGTGGGGCTCCATCCAAAAAGGGTTTGTAACACAGTGTACAGTCTTGTAGCCCAGCTGTGTGGAGCATTGATTGCTTCTGCCTAGAGCAGGGATACTGTCAAGTTGCTCTGTGAGTTGAGTCATCTATTGACAAAGAGCTACCAGCCCGCAGATAATGCTGTGCGGAGCTGCTCTTGCTGCTCCCACGATGCACTGCTTATAGCAGCTGTCAAAGATACTGAGGGATCCACAGAAGGAAAAAAAAAAAAAGACTTTTACAACTGCCTGGAAGAAAGGGGTGTGAGGGAGGAGACATTCCTGTGCAGAGCTGACCAAAGGAAAGAGTAGGCATCAGTGCAGTATGAATGCATACCTCACCAAGCAACACAGCTGCAGCCGGGGGTCCGATGGGATGGATGCCGGCAGGAGTGCACCCACACTGATCAGGGATGCCCACTGCGCTTGTGGCTGGCAGAGGAGCCCTCAGGGGCTTGGGTACAATTCTCAGACCATGCCCTCTTCAGGACCTGGGGGCCCAGCTTCAAACAGGACCAAGCTGGTCACTTTGTGGGACAGTGTGCGGAAAAGCCCCCACAAGACGGGCACCAAGGGCAAAGGGACTTGTGGGGAGCGTTGCGCCTGCCCACATGGTTGGTTCAGCCCAACACAGGTGAGCCTTTTCCTTATGACTTTCCCTTGAATATCGGAAGAAACTGAGAGCAAGTTGTGTGAGGGTAGCATGGTTTGGAAAACTTTGCCGGTTCCTCCTTGCTGACTGGTTGCGCCTGTTTGGAAGATGGTGGGCCTGGAAAAAACTGTCATTTTTACAGGTGATTGTGGGCTCACACCTCTGGGTGGCCGTGAGAGTCCAAAGATGCTATGCTCAGTTTCTTTTAGTGACTTTCCCCAAGTTCAACTTTTCTAGTCCTTAGATGATTTTACTATGCTGTATCATAGGCTTTTAGCAGCACTTTAACTTCTAACCATTGTTAACTTTTGTGTCCTGCCTAGCCTCATTTTTTTTTTAAGGGAGAGAAAAAATAAACTGAGATACTTTCCATCTCTTTAATCATAAAAGGGCATTTATTTCTTCACCTATTTAAAGTAGTGATTTGAACTATGCTCTTTTAATTTTACTCTTATAATACTGTATACCTTTTCAGTAATAGGGAAGAAATTGTGTTTTTCCTAAATAATTCATTTTACAAACAAAAGGAATAATTGGGAGGAAACCAGAGGATGATTACACTCAGAATAAAATAATGAAACATTTTATTTATTCATAGGGAAGCAACAAGGTTATTTATATTAAAAACTATAACTCTCTTTCTTCTATAATGTATTTCTGAAGCAGATGTACAGATTCCCTTAATTTAATTTCTAGCTTATTCTTGCCCCAAACTACTGGCATTTTATCAGAAATGAAATTGGCTTATTGTTTCCTGCCCCCATCCATAAGAGGGAAGACAACTTCCTGTAAATGCTGTAAAATTTAAATAGAGTGCACCTGTAATCACTCTCATAAATATTGAACAACGATAGTTCTTAAATATCCATTGAAAAAGAGAAAAGCTGTTTGCAGAAAAAAAATCCTTTCTTAATTTTCATGTGATCTTAACATAATTGAGACGTGGCTATTGATCGTGAATGAAATGTTATGATCTGAGAGGTGGAGAGAACATTCTGATTTTAATATTAGTTTTTTAAAAAGTACTTCCAAGAATATCATATATCACTAGATCTTAATGATACTGTTGCACATATGTGACTTTTGATGCATTGATATCATGCATCTCAGCATCTGATTTAAATGAAGAATATATTGTCATTTTAGTATTAAACAGTTTGAAATGGAGGCTGATATTTGGAAACTTGGTTATTTTTTAAAGTTAACATGAATTCCAACCTGAAAAAACAGTCTTGACAATTTTAAAGTCTCTACATATTCTTTTACAAATGCATGCATTTAAATGTCTTTAAAGTATATCTCTGTGTCGATTATGTTAGATTCTCAAGGCTCACATAGGCAATGAAGACAAACACACATCTAACTTACAGTTTTTGCACAGAGTAGAATAAGCCAACTTGCTTTAGAGTAGAATAAGCAAACTTGTTTTATGGTCACAATTCTTTTTATCCAAGATGCAAAAAGACTTGCGTTTCATAAATGATAATTTCTCAAACCAAAAATCTCTAATTGTACATTAAAATAACCATGCTCTCAAATTTTTGTACATTTTTCATCAGTCAAGGGAAACTTCCCTTCCTTGGTTTTTAACAAAGTCAGCCTCCTACTTGCTTTAAATTTATAGCCATTTAATGCTTTAGAGGATTGAAATAGACTCTCTGTACTGATAATTAAAGATCCAGTGACATATGAAAAGGTAATAAATTGAGACAGTCACCATCTCCCATTCTTTTTCACACACATTTCTATAAATTTTCTCACTTATTCACAGGCACTTTATTGTTAGCTAGGAAGAACAATGACTCCCAAATATTGGAGTTACAATACCATATCTTTTAGGGACTTTAGTGTTGTGACACCTGACCCTTCCATGCTTTTACCATCTCAGTCCTGTGAAAGTGTTATGCATAGATTTTAATATATGTATTTAAATATCCCTGTAATAACTAGATACTTGCACATATTAACATATTTTCATGTATTTATAAGTATATATACATATGGATATATGTGTATATATACACATATACATGTAGGCATGCATATACATATATACATATAAAAATTAGAGTTCTATATTATTCTTTTCTCACCCAGAAAGTACTATCTTGTTCTTCTAAAGGATGTTTTATTCTCTCCATATAAAGTACATTTCTTTACTTCTTATAAGTGTTCTAAAATGCTGATTTATGTATGTGTATTCATATATATATGACTACATGTATATGTACATTCATTTACATATGTATCTGTAGAACATATCTAATATTTAAAATGTACAGTATGTGTAAGTACTATACACCCATAGATACTATCACAAAAATAAAACCATATGTGTGTCTAGGTGTATGCATATGTGTCCTTTGAAAGCCACTTCTGTTTTGAGAATTTTGTGATACTATCCATACCCCTTAAATTAACTAGAGATATCCTGTGAAATATTGTGAAATGAAGGATGGAGGTTAATGGTACTAAACATTAGAATTCTTGATAAAGTAGACAGGGGGAGAGTGCATGCTGTAGAGTAGCCTTGGGCCCCACATGTGGTACAGAACGTGCCTGAGGGCTGCTAAGTGTCTGGGAGCTGGGATCCTGCCCTCAGAGATATTTGCTGTATTACGTGGAAATCAGCAGTGTGATTTCCGGCTGCTATAATAGAGGGCCATGGTAATGACTTGAGTTCCTCCCAAGGCTCTTTGCCAAACTCCTGTTATTTGGGGTACTGTGTGCTAACAGGACACTGTCATTATGTTGTTCCTCAGCAAGACTAAAAAACAGCTTCTGTCCTTTCTCAAATAAGTTTTCATTCCATTTGGATCTGTAGAATTAATATGACCATAATAATAGGTAAGAAAATGGAAAATTATAGTTTCCAGAAGTGAGTTCTAGAATGCACATGTAGGATAATAGTGTTGGCCTTGGGGTGGGGGGTGGGCGGGAAGGATGTCCATCATTGTGTATGTGGCATTTCTCCCCAGTGCAGGCTGATCTGGGGTGGAAGCACAGAACAGCTGAGATTCAAACACCAGAGTTCTATGCATTTGAACTTCATTCATTCATTCTTCATTTGTTTATTCACCTATCATTTCCCGAGTGCTTACCATGTGCTGCTTTCTCTGGCTTGTGGATAGGGTAGTAAACAAAAGAAATAACACCCCTACCATTGTGGAGCCTGTGGCCTGCAGTGCTATATAATATTTAGTAAATGTATCAGTATGTATACAGAATTATATCATCATAAGTCACAAATTGGAAGTGAAACAAGTTCCATAGAGTCCTACAAAGTCCATAGTCAATACATATTCAGGATACAGAGGAACTATAGAGGAGTAAGAAAGCAAGGACATTTTTACATTTTTAATGTATACATTTATTTACTTAATTTTTTTTTATGAAAAGGTACTGCATCTCTTTAAGCCTAGATTTTCTGTTTTATAAAATGAGCATAAAAATAGTACCTAACTCAGGATTGTAGTGAGGAATGATTAACATAATAAATATAAGGCACTTAGCACAGTGCTAACATGTAGTAAGGGGGTTCAATAAATATTTGTAGAATGAATGAATAAGAAGCCTGCTATAAAAGCTGGCTATTATTAACCTATTCCTTAATTCATTATATCTGATTGGCCAGGAAGAGAAAAATAAGTGAATCAGGGAAGACTTCCAGAAGTGGTGATCCTTGGGCTGAATTGAATTGAACGTAAAAGTAACATGCCTGTGTTTCTCAAGTGAGCAAAGAGAGATGATATTTCTAGGTAAAAATAACAAAACCAGAAACACATATAACACCCCTGTTGCTGTGTGGAACTGCTCAGAGTTCTGTTTGCCCAGAGCATTAGGCACTAGAGAGTAGGTTCATCAAGAGCTGGGGCTGGAGACCTGGGCAGGGCTTGGTCACAAAAAGTCTTGTGGGCTTCATTGAGGACTTTGCTGAGCAGGCAGCATGGAACCGGTCACCACAGGATCCCGGCACCTGCTCTGCTACTCTCTATGGGTTTGGCTTTGTGGTCAGTGAACCGTTCTGGGCCTCAGTTTCTCTGTTTCTAAGAAAAAATGATCTTTCCTAAATGAAGTCCCATATCTCTTCCAATACTAATATTCTGTGACTCTGTCAACTGACACCCATTCATTAATGGGAAGAGCTTTGGAAAAGATTTATGCTTTAAAGAGAGACAGTCCTAAGTTTGAACTTACTAGCTCTGTGTGACCTCACTTCCTTAACCTCTTTAAGATTCATTTGTCTTCTCTGTAAAACTTAGGATGATAAAATTATGTTATGGGAAAATGTAATAAGAATTAAAAATACTCTATCTAGAAGAGCCCAGAGTGGTGCTTAGAATATAGGAATTGTTCGATAAGTGGTATTTATTGCTACTAATGATACCCAAATTATGCTTTTTTAACCTGAAGAACTTATTGTCCATCGAATGAATTAATCAGTATTGTGGTCCTTTGTTAGAATTTCTACTTTGTTCACTGAATTTTTTGATGTCTTACTTATAATAATTAAGGTTAAGTTAGACAACTGTCCAGAAACATTTGGCACAGTTCCACATGATGGCAGGATGACATTTTGCCCTTCAGGTTCTCAGAGATTTACAACAAAGCCTACACACACACACACACACACACACACACACACACACACACACACACACACAAAATATATACATAATAGAACTGTATTGATGAAGTAGCATTCCCATTATCTTATATTCAAAGGTAGGAGATATTAGATTTTCTCAGCAACATCCTACTAGAACAACGGTGTTTGAAGCATTTAGCCAAACTCTGTAAATCTTCCCTAAGGGTCCCTTTGCAGCTCTTCCAGACACAGCAGTTTGCAGCAACCTGAGTGCAGAGAACATTTTTGTCCAAAAAGTAGGGTTGCCCTAGGCTAAAATCTCAGGCTCAGCTTATGTCTAGCCAGAAAGATCTAACAGCTTGTTTTAACTCTGCTTCTACTGATTCCTTCTAGA